CGCTCACGCTGGCTGCTGGCTCCACACGGTAGCCCATGGCAACCCACTGCAGCAGGGGCTGCAACCTACGCCGTCGCCGGTGACTCACAGCAGCCCAGCTCCAGGTTGAGCTGTTGTTCAGCATATTAGCTGTGGAGGGCAGTGTCATTGGCCCTCATATGTGGGATCCGAACCGGGGCCCTCTGGCGTCCCAAGCCAGTTCTTAACCATCGCGCCACTCGGCCGGCCCTACATGAAGGTTTTTAAGGTATATTTCTCAACTGCTTTCCAGAACTGGGTAAACTAGGTTATCCCTGCCAATATAAGCTGGTGCCTACAAAGTATTTCTCAGAAACCACAATTATTTCAGGGACTGAGGATTCCATTAAACAAACAAAAAAAACTTTATTGAAAAAAGCAGAGACAAAAGTAAATTTTCAAATTCTTCCAATAATGCCAAAAAAAAAAAAAGAAAGAAAAGAAAAAGAAAAAAAGGAATCCAAGCTGGATTCTGAGCTTGGAGCCTGACCCCCACATGAGGAGATCCCCAAGCAGGGATGGGTGTTGGGTGTCTCCACGTGCTCAGGGACCCGCTGAGCCTCGTGGGCTGTGGCATCCCCCCTGCGTACTGACCACTGTCTCTCCCTCCACACCCCTCCCCGCTGTGTACGTGCTTCTCAAGAGCTCTACCGGCCCTCAGCTGCTCCCAGCCGTCATACACTGTTCACCATCGTCTCTGGTTATGTTTGTGACACACATGCACTGCAGCCAAGCCCCGTCTCTCTAAGGTTCGTGTGTGCCCTGGTGACTGTCAGTGTTGTGACTGTCTGGACATCACACAGCTGTGTGTGTGCTCTGTGCACCATCGACATTTTGAGAACTCGCTGCCTTTATTTTGGGGATAGTGGTATGTAGCGTGGGCTTCAAGGAAGGGGGTCAGCACTGCTCTTGTCTCCTGGGTGCTCACATGTTGCATGATGCAACAGCCTCTGTCTCCACTGGGCATCCCCACGCTGAGCTGCCTGTCCCTCTTCTGCAGGTGGCCGCCATAGCAGCCTGAAGCCCGTCAGCAGCAGTCCCACCATCACCATCGCTGCCACTGCGGCCATGGTCTCCGTGGACCCTGAGGGACGTGGGGGCCCGTCACCCTCCAGCGTGCAGCCCCGCCACTTCCTGACACTGGCACCCTTCAGAATACCCCTGCGGGCCGCCCCCTTCTCTGGTAAGTAAGAGCATGGTCTCCCAAAGCTTTGAGCTGGCTGCAGAAGCTGTGCTGTGGGGGACGAGGCAGGGGCCAGTGTGCCCACCTCCCTGCACCCCCATGCCGTGGGGCGCCCCAGCCTGGCTGTAGGGGTGGGGAGATATGCAGGTTTGTCCAAACTACACAAATAGACTTGATTCCATTCAACAAGGTTGGGTTACATCAACCGGGCGCTTTCTGCTGTAATGCGAGGTTTACGGTTTGTTTGAAGAACCGAGGCTTCTCTCACTATTTAGGGCGTGGGGGTGCAGTAGCTGACAGTACATGGACTCAGAAATTTGTAATTTTCTCACACAAAGCCTGGAGCCACGTGCTAGAAAGTAGTGAAGTGTCTAAATTGGTACATCACAGAAAAGGTAAATGCTGAGACTCGTATAGAGCTTTCCCCACATCTCACCTGGGGAGGGTCACCTGGGCTTCCAGCTGGGCTGTTCTGAACACATGGGGTGAGGGCCTTCCCACCATGCAGGACCTCTATGGAGCCCACCAAAGCCCACGGCATGATGGCCACAAAGGCACTTGTGTTCCGAGTGCAGTGGGTGTGCTCTTCTGAGAAGTCCGCGGTGTGGAGGCCGGGCTCGTGGACATCCCGGGCTTGGAGGTGCCAAGTGCGTACTGGGCTCAGGAGGGAAGGTCCGCGTCCTGCACTGGCTGTGACTGCGCTGTTCACAGCTATACACGCATGTCTACTAAGCACGTCCAAGTCGTTCCTTACACGTAGCACAAGCAACAGTGACTTGGAAGGACAGTAAGCTCTCAGATCTTGTGAGCTAGTGCTGTTACTTTAGCTTTAGTTTGTCATGTGATAGTTTAAGACTCGAACAGAAATTCTGTGGCGCTCTACTATTAGTTGTGTACTGCAATTAATGCTGGCATTCTAATTCTAGCACCAGTGTCATGAATCGCGAGGTTATCGGTAGTAAGAGACATCACTAGATGGTAAGATGTGTGTATTACATATGTATGTATGGTAATATATGTACGGCTCACAGTGGAAAGGGAAGAGGCCTGGTTATTTCCAGGGTGGGCAATGCTTCTGGTTGGCTGACCTCTTCTGGTGAGTCTGATGTGGTTTTCTCAGCACTGGACCTCCGGCCTTCATGTCTGCATGTTGGGTTGATAAATTAGTTGCTCAGTAGAACATTGTATTCTCAAGAACAAAGTCATTTCTATTTCAGTGTGTTGGTGAACATGCATTTAGGGTATGATGGGGGAATAAATAAAACACATAGATAATCTCTTGTGTGGAACGTAATTTACAGCTCTGTCAAGATTTTGGTTAAAATCCATCAATCCATTGACGTTTATTAAGGATGACTTACTATTTTTCAAGAAAATTAATGTTAGAAAGAACCAAACACCATGTAGCCCAGGAGTGGCTTTACTTCCCATGTCTCTCGTAGGATTTATAAAGTGACATAATAATTAGGCATCTTTCCACGTTTGCATTTTATAAGGCTCTGTAATCAAATTTGCCACAACATGCATTCAGTTAGAAAAAGACAGGCACCAGTGTTATCTGTCTTGGAAGCAACCGCCAGCATGGCTGTCAAACAGACGAAGGGGGTGGTGCTTAGAAGGTGGCTCCGGATGGCCTTACAGTTTGATCTGTTTGATTCGAATGCCACACTCAACAGTAGAGGCACCAGGTTGAAGTTGAAATGAAGGAGGGTGGGTCTGGCCCAGTGACCCCAGCCTGGTGGGTGACCTCTGAGCGTGAGCCAATCCCAGGCCTCACGGTGGCTGTGGCTCTATCTGGGGTGCCCCTGGTAAGTGGGGTCTTCGGGAGATAGGACCACTGTGTAGTGTCTTGGTTGTCTCCTCTTGACTTCAGCAGAAACCATGTGAGTGAGAGTGGCTGTGCCCACATGAAAACTTTTGTGGAATTTCCCTTGAGTACTTTCTGAAAACCAAGGCTTGAAGGACACGGAGGGTCGACCATTTGTCTGTCAGGGCTGGTGTTTAACCATTGTCAGTGGCCCCGTAAATAAGATTAAATGAGCTTGAAGAGCTGACTGTCCCGATGAACACCCTCAATGGGGGTTCAGGGAGCCCACCAGGACATCCCTGACACACAAATAGGTGGGCTGGAGCGGGGGTGGGGCAGGGAAGGACCAAGTATCCTGTCGAGGGCTAGGCTGGGGGAGCGGGGGAGGTGGGGTACCATTGATAGCACAACAGATTTTGTAGACCAAGAAAAATGCACCTCTCTGTGGAATTTGCTCTGTATTGCACTGATTTTAGAAAAGCATGTGAACTTTAATATGAGTACAGATGAATAACCCTGTTTTTGTTTAGAAGATAATAATTCCCATTTTAGATAAATGAGCTAGACTCTTTCATTCACTCCCTTCACTTGGTAATAACAGCTGAGTCATCTTAGAAGCCCCACATGGCTTAGCTTTATGGTTCTCAACTAGAGGCAGCTTTACCTCCAGGGGTTCTTCTATGGCTGGACAGATTTGCGGGGGCTGCTACTGGGATCTAGTGGGTAGAAACCAGGGATTCTGCCGCACACCCTGTAATGCCCAGCCAGCCCCCACGATAAAGGGTTGTCTGGCTCCACATGTTAGCAGTGCTTGTATCGAGATGCCCCAGTTAATATTCTAGAATTCCACCTATACCGTGAAAACCTGTGTTGGTGTGTGAACAGTCTACCCTCATCTCGAGGAGTTCGTGATCCAGTAACCGACGGGCTTTGAAGGGAATGGCTCCGGGCTGGAGGGAAGGTCAGCTATGAGTTACACTTAGTCATATGCCTGCATGCGATTCAGAGTTTCAAATCACTTGTTGAAAGAACCCCATGACCTGTTCCAAATTCAGTCGTAAGCTTGGTTTTCTTGTTCAGTATGTTGCCAGCACGTGCAGCAAAGTCAGCACTTGCTGTTACTCTTTCAAAGGACCATGTGTACCTGGGTAGCTGCTGGCCTCGTGCTCATGTTAGTCTGCTCACACCTGTCCCCTCCCCTAGCCTGTAAGCCGCCTGCTGGGGGCCGTGTCTCGCTGTCCTGGCGCAGCCTGCACCGGGCACCCCGGGCGCGATCGTCACATGTGTTGAGCTGATGGCTCTATGCGCTGATCCTTCAGCCGGTCCCCTGACTTGGGTGGCCGTTCTCCACCTTGTACATCAACAAGTGCGTACAGTCTGCTGTCCTTATTCACATAATTTCTAATGTGGTTTCTCACGGATTGCTCCTGGATTGAGGTGAGGTAGCGGGCAGGGGGACGCAATGGCGGGGGGGGGGAGGTTACCTGGACACGTGGGCTTTGCCGGCGGCGCGAGCCGGTGGAGCGTGGTGGGCAGAGCAAGCGGCCTGCGTTTCCTACAGCAGGTTTCAGCTAAACAACCTTGCTCAACCTTAGAGTTTTAGGTTCAAGAGGAACACTTTAAGGCTAGAAACATACCTGGCATCCTGTTTCTTTCTTAGTTTTGAAGGAGAACATGGACTTGATTGAGGGGAGAAAGAAGGACCTGCTCTCTCGGGGTTGAATCCTGAGTTATGAGGTGGGCGCCCACTTTGGGGGGATAAAGAGGCGGAACCACTCCAGCGTCTGCCCCCATTTGATGAAACAAAGGAAGCGACTCTTGTTTTAAAGATGGTGGTAGTTGCTTTAAGCCTTTGCCCACCATTTCGTAAGCATTTGAGGGAGCGAGGAAGGCTATGAGCGATTGTTCTGGTCGCTAGGAGAGCAAATGACGATCTGATACAACTATTAAAAAGTGCCATCTGCCTTGGAAACCATTTACCACCTGTCCTTTTGCTTCCAGAACTATTTAATGGTTTAAATTTAACAGTTTGTCCTGCCACAGAACAGCTGGGAAGTGACTATTTTTTTCTGTCAGTATCTTACCAGCCAAGAGACTTAACAAGTCAGGGAAGTCCCGCGTGGGAGTGCCAGCAACGCCGCCTTCCCGGGGCTGTCCGCCGCCTCTCTGGGGGAATCTGTGGGTGACGCGACAGGCTCGGTGACAACGGTGACCCAGCCACTGGGTGCAGTCTTTCCTTTTTCCATCCAGGAATCATTTCCCCTGCACTGTAATAGAAAATGTCATAATACGTATTAACATTTTAGAGAATTTCAGAGACAAAAATATCATAACAGCATAATTACTTCCACTCCAAAACGTCTGAGCCTCAGCTGGCTTCTGTGAGGAAGACATATGTGTTTTTGACAGAGGAATTGAGTTCTCAGTAGAACACACGCTGTATTGAAACAACCAAAAAAAAAAAAAAGACTGTTATTCACGAACTCACTCGCATTAAGGATGCAAACTACACCCAGTCAGGCTGGTATAAGGGCATGTGAGCATGTCAGGGCAGCATTTGCTAAACAAGAGCTCGTTGCTGGGATCCGACGGGTATGTGTGTGTGTGTGGGGGGGGCGCTGGCAGTGGGGGGGCGCTGGCAGGAATGGCTCCCTCTGACGGCAAGTGTGTCTGCTCTACGTGGCCGTCTGCTCTACGTGGCCGTCTGCTCTACGTGGCCCTCTAGAAAGTTCCTCTCCTGCCCCCCTCTGGCCCCCGGGGCTCCAGTCCTTGCTAATTTCCTGAGGAGCCAGCGCCTGGCACTTCAGCTTCGTGAGCTCTCTCCACTGTGAGCTTCTACTCACTCTTTGAAAAGAAAACTGGAAATTATTGCGCACACCAATGCTGCATGTTTCCACCAAGTAGAATGAACGTCCATCCCTCCCTTGGAGCCCAAGGAGGTAGATGCTTTCTGCCCCTAACGCTCGCGGGAGCCTAGACTCATGTCCACCCCAGGGACCCTCATCCTCCAGCATAGGGGCCAGCCGTTCCTTGGCTGCGTTAAAAATGTGTTTACCACGTAGGTGTTGTCTCTATACAGTATGTCGCTGAGTTTTTGGTTTTTTGAATTTTATGTCAGTGTCGTCATAGTTCATGAATTCTTCTGATTGCCTATTTTGCTCAAATTGACATGTTTTTCTTAACGTCATGGCCG